GAAGAAAAGGAAAGACAGGAAAGAAAAGTAGGGCTGTAGGGAGAGAAAGTTTTGTTACATGTTAGCATTTTACAGCTGACAAATTGTTTTACTTTTAGTTTGAAATTTATAAAGCAGCACTTCAAGTTATTCACAGCATCTTCAGAATAAAGAGTATTACAGTACCAAAGACTAAGACAGCTGTATATGACAGGAAAAAATGCAGGAAACATTGCAAGTTCACTTGAAATAAAAATAAATACTAAAGTATGAAAATACTGGTAGAAACCTAGTGGTTTATTTTGAGGAATTAAAGTTTGTTGAAATTAACTGAAAATAGTTTTGAACAAGATAGGTGTCTGTCCATTTTGTTATAAGGAAGTGAGGTTTGCTTATGCCTGAAGAAACAAAAGTTGAATACAGTAGGAAATGGATTATTTAAGAATTGGACATGGTAAATATGGGATATAGGGAACAGATGAATAAGTAATGAATTACTATGGATTTAATATAAAAACTAGTGATAAGTAGTCCTCAACTTATGACCAATTACTTAGCAAGCATTCAAAGTTGCAACCTACCTGAAAAGGGAACTTACAACCTGGATCCAAAGTTCTGATGGTCACACAGTCCTTGCAGTCATATGACCAAACTTCAGACACTCAGCAACATGGCCGCATTTACAGCTATTTGCAGCATTCCACATAATATGACCATGTTTTACAAAAGTTTGACTGAAAACTGGCATTTCTGGCTTTCAACAAAACTGCACCTATAGTAAATAGATTTGCACTTATTATCACTGTGTTTGCTTAATATTCACACTTACAACTGCTTCATTCACTTAATGACTACTGCAAAAATGTTGTAATTTTATTTTACAACCATTACAACTTGTGACTATAATGGGCAGGCTCCATTATGGTCATACTCAAGGACTAACTGTATAGGTCAAAATATATGAAGGACGGTGAAATGGATTTAAAAGCAGAACATCAAAAAAGATATAGGTGGATAAAGGGTATAAGATTCTCAGAAAGATTAAAGAAAACCAAACCCATCATTTGAGATGTACTGTATGTATATATGTGGTGGAAGCAAGGATCAATTGCAAGACCAATCATTATAAGGTAGACTTATACTTTTATACTTTTTCTGCTCTTTGCATATTATGGATGAGGAGTATGCAGTGTATGTATGTATGCATCTCAGCAATCCCCAACTTTTCTGGCTTTAAGGACCATCGGGTGGGGAGGAAGAGAAATGGTTCTGTGTGAGCTTTGACTAAGCACACGAGTCCATTTGCACGAGCAGAGGGCATGTGTGCCTGCCACTCATTTAAATGAAGCTGCACGTGCATGCTTACCCACCGCTTCTGCAACTTGGTTCCAAACTTATCCGTTGCTTGTGCAAAAGGAGCTGCATGTGTGCACACTCGCCCACTGCTCGCACAAGTGAACCTGTGCCTATACTAGCTCACCAACTGTTTCTGTGGTCCAGTTCCAAACTTGTCCGCTGCTCACACAAATTGAGCTGCTCACACATGGAGCTGTACCTGCACATGCTCACCTTCCACTTCTGCTGCCTATTTTCAAATGGGCCGCGGCCCACTAGTGGGCTGTGGCCTGGGGGTTGAGGACCCCTGATGTATCTTGTGACCTATGGTTTGGAAAATATGCTTTTTTCTAAACCAGAATCAGATAAAGTATGGAATTTTAAATTTTGTTTCACATTGAAAGAGTTAAGCAGGGACAAATTAATAGCTTTTCCTAAATATTACTTTCAAAGTTTAAAATGCTGAGCAAAGAAAAAAGGAGATCTATCCTGAAGAAACATTTATTAGCTTCTGCTTCTTCAACAATTCTGGAGGTTAAGTCTATCATATCAGAGGAAGAAATGAAAGCTAATGACATCTGCTCTACACATTCATCCCAGAAAGGTACAGTCATCATCATTAATACCAATTCTAAAATTCATGTTTATTTGAATAATATTTCACAAGCATCAACATTTTAAATATATATAAATATATATACAACATGTAACAAATTTTAAATTTATTTTTTATTTTATTTGAAGCTGATACATCAAAGCTATTATGGTGATAAGTTATTATACTCTAATTTTGAGAGTATTTCCAATAATATTTCCTTATTTAGCTATGTCTTATTCTGACCTCTGCAATTTCACATTCACTGACAAGCAAAGTCAATGGGGAAGGTCAGATTCACTTAATAATCATATTAACCACTGCAGTGATTCACTTAGCAACTATGGCAAGAAAGGTCATAAAATGGATCAAAACTCACTTAACTGTCTCGCAACAGACAGTTTGGGCTTGACTATGGTGATAGGTCGAGAACTACCAGTTGATTGTTTCAATGGTCCCAGTTTGAATTATCAGACTATTCAGCAGGAACAAAACAGTCTAAGTGATCAGCTCTTACATCATCAATACCAAAATATTCTTATTCAGGCATTAAATTTAGAATTCATCTTGTCTGAACTAAAAATTAATAACTTTCCTTATTAAAATGGGAAAAGGAAAAAGTTATTTTCTTTCTTTTGTAACATGTTTACTTTTAAAAAAAAATCTTTTTAATGCAACTTAGAATCACAAACTGTGAAGAGGCAGTCTTATAAATCTTTTAAATAAATAAGCAGTTAATGTCTCCCAAAAACATTTCCCACTGCAGACAAAAGATTCCAAATGTAAGCTAGAGTTAGGTAAAGTATGATTATACAATGGCAAACTACTTTCCAGCTAAAGTCCAACAACAATTCAGGAATGCAAAAGCAAAGAAGCTATATTGCATTTTGATATATTAGCGGCCTTTCCAAACATCATTATTCAAACCAGTTAAAATATGGCAGCAATAAAATGACTATTTTAAAAACCAATGCAAATCACACTATGATCCATAAATTACTAAGTACTAATTTGAATGAGATTTAAACATATTGCTCTTAATTTAGGTTGTTTTTCAAGTGTTTTTATTCTGTTGTTTTCCAACCAGAGTTAGGCATATAATATAAATTAAATAAATAAGCATCAATAATATGGCATACTGAAATCAAAGGAGGCCATATTTTTGTGGCCAATAGAATATCTGCTCAAAAATATATCCCACTGATTTCAATGTAATTTATTTTTAGTTATGTATAAGATTGCTTTAACTATATTATGTCTTAGTAATGTTATTTGGGAAAGAATTATTTTTTTAATCTCAAATCTTTTATCTTGGAAGCAGCAGTTGAGTATGCATAGCAAGAGATATCATGAGAAACTTTGATCTGAGTATTAAGAACATGGCTGAAGTCCATTATTTGTTTACATTCTTGACTCACTGGTATGTAACAAATCATATGCACTGCTGTTTCCAAATCATCTGCTTTTAAAAATATGCAGATTTCAACAAAATGCTTTTTAATTAGAAAGCTTTTAACTATTAAACTGAACCCGGTATGTTTTTTTTTTCCATAAAGAATGGATATTAATACTGCTTTAACTTTTCACTTCAGCAATTCACCAGATATTAACTGACTAATAAGTTTAAAGAAAATAAATATCAACAGACATTATTTAAAAAAATATCCGTTACATGTTTTCCCAGATACATTTACATAATTAAAAAGACAATGCTCTATCTTGTTATCCTAACTTGCATTTACATTTGTTGGAGTTTAGCATCCTTTGCTAAGAGAAATAAAGCTAACCCTTTTGACTACCACAAATAAGCCCCTCTCTTACACGTTTTAAAATAAAATATAGGTATTTTTCATTTAAATAATGCTAATCAAGTACTAAAGAAAGAAAAGGATTTTAATTCAAGAAAAAAAAATACTTTGAGTGCAAAACTTTATACTATGGTCTGAAACTTCTTGGAAATTTGGCTTAAAACAGCAAATATTATGTCTATTGCTCTTTTTGCAAGACAAGATATAATAAGACACCATTAATGTATAATAAAAGCTCATCTACCATTTATGTCAATGCAGGCATATATTAAGAAAAGGCTAAATTGCTTCAATTTTCTCAAGTCTTCACAGAACCAATCCGAGGAATAGCTTGAAGCTTTTGGAATTACCGGATACAATCAGAGGCGCAACGTTCATTGAGGTTTCTTCACAATTATTTTATCAAGCCAACTTTCCTTAGAGCTACCGGTTATATTAACTCACACCAGAAACATTACAAGAATCCCAATACTGTATGCAGTGTTGTTGGGCGTACGGGTAAGTAATTCCTTTTGCAAAAACAACTTAGGGCTTAATAGCTTTAAACAAGGCCAATTCGCCCAGCATAGGACTTCCAGTAGGTCAGAGAAAGAAGGCAGGCAGGATTAAGGGCAGGACGCACCGAAATAGACCGTGGGCAAGGCAGCAATAGAAATAGCTGCTGCATCCAGGAATCCTTAAGAGACAGAAACTAACTTGGTTTCCCCCTCGTTCGTGCCAGGCACCCAGGAAGCAGCCTTTAAAAACCAAAAACCCAAACCGGGTGTCCCACATGTCTGGCGATCACTGCAAGATGAAACCCTTGGAGAGATAAAGACAGCCCCGCTAGTAAACCATTCGAGGGAAAGAATCAGGACGCGGAAAGAGCCCTTTTACAATTCATACTCGGGAGCGGGGAGAGCGAGAGATTGAGCGAGAGAGAGAGCGAAACACAAACACAATCAGGAAGGGGAGGGGGGAAAAAAAGGCAGAGGGAAAAGGCGGGGCTGGGGGCGAGTGCAGGAGGCGACCAGGCTACAACGATGAAAGTTCGCGCGGGGGGGGGGGGGAGGAAAAGGAGCGCAGTGCGGGGGGGGGGGAGGAAGAGGGGAGGAGCCAACCTGTGGGGCCCCAAACTGGAAGCAGCGCCCCCCCATAGGGATTCAATAAAGGCGGGGAAGGAAGGTAAGTGGGGCGAATGTCGGGGGTCAGGGAGCCTAGATACGACGACCTCGGCTGAGGCACCTGTCAGGCAGCAGCAGCAGCAGCAGCAGGAGGACCAAAGAGGAGAAATGGGGCCTCACCTTCACGCTCCTACCGCCAGCAATGCCGGCCGAGGCATAGCCCAGGTGCGAGGCGAAAGCGAGAGAGGCACGCAGCTCCCGCTCCAATTCCGGAGTTCTCCCACCAAGAGGCGACGAAGGTGGGGAGGGGGGAGAAAGAGAGAGAGAGAGAAGCTTCCCGGTTTTGCCGCCGCCGCCGCCGCCGCCTAGCGAGAGTCAGTCAAGCACGGCAACTTCGGCCGCCTCCCTCCCGTGCCGGATTCCGGCCACAAAACCGCCGTCCCACTAGCCGCCCCGCCCCCATCCCACACCCCCCCACCCCGCGCGCATGTGTACAGCAGCTTCGCCCGCCCTCCGAGCCTCAAGCCCCGCCTCGCAAGGGCGCGAGGCATGATTGGGGCGGTGCGCCACTCCCGGGCCGCGGAGCTTTGCGTGACGTCGCCGCCGCCGCGGCCCCGAACGAACTTGCCCCGCCCTCGGCAGCCTCTCTCCGGCTTTGCTAGGTTGAGCGACGTCCCCGCTGGGTGTCTTTGGGTAGCTGAGTGCCCCGTCGGTACAAACTGGGGCGGTGGCATTTCTCATAGCTGTCTGTATTTCCGTGGTGACGGCAGGCTGCAAACCAAGTTATACTTCTTACGCTTTTAAGGTGGACCTGCATGGAGGATCTTTGAAAATGTTTGTCTTTATAATGTTCAGCCCTTTTAATTTGTGAAATGGTTTAATCAAGCATCACCTTTCTCAAAGAAGGCAAATGTAAATTTAGAACACGGTGACTATATTTCTTTGGGAAAAAAAAATACCTGGAAAACGGGCAAAATCTGAAAAAGGTTCATAAGGATTTTTTTAAAAAAACAACCCCTAATTGTTTATAACTTTACTTTGAAGGAAAATCCAAGAACAAAATCAAGAAAAACTTTACAAAAATGTTTATTTGAGCAAAATATCTAAAAAGCACAAAAAGCTATGAAGTTATAAGAAGTAAGCATCAAAAAGCTTTTATGTAATAAGTCTGCATTAAGTGGTACCATTTGTACAGGAAAAGTAAATGACAAAAAGGACAAAGGTGAGTTTTTGAAAAATAAATCTAAAGGACAATTTTCTGAAGTAAACAACTGCCCTTTATAGTAATTGACATATGGTCATTGTAGTTTAAACTAATAAGTAAAAAATATCTCAATTAGGAAGGAACATATTTTTTTTTTAATTTTTATTCTCTCTAGCCATTTGTTTCTACTAAAATAGCCCAAAGAAGAATATGTGTCATCTGTGAATGTGGCAGTGGAGAAAATGTGTTGTCCTTCCAGTGTTCATGCATATTTGTTTCAGTATATTCTTTCAATAAGCTAAAGAGGAACCATCATCTATAACTCTCCTGCAACTGATTATGATGTAACAATTCGCTTACTGCAGAATTTTTCATAATGTCACATTATTATCTGTGTTTTTTAAAGTACAGCCTGAAAAATGCCTTCAGCAAACACAATTTCTGTTTCATAGATGATTCATCCTGTTGTCTCTTTGAAGGATAATCTTTGTATTATATTGAGGAGTTAGTTTCTGATGTTATGAATTTTATGAAATTATTTAATATATTGGGTATTAAATCACAAAACATGATTTTCTCACAAAAAAAGTTAGGATGCGCAACTGCACGTGATTTTGAGTTCAGTTTTCCTGGCAACAGTTTATAATTGGTCTTTTTTTTTTCTAGCTTAAAAAAAAACTTTCCAGTCTAATATACAGTGCTGGTAGACTCCCTGGAAATCTCCCATTCTAGACTTGATCTTGTCTAACTTTCAAGATTTGATAAGATCAGCCTGCTATTTTGGGGAGAGAATACTCATCAGAAAAAGTTAACAAGATGTGAAAAAACTGGATAGTAAAGAAGGGATAAATGGAGCACATGCATCCCTCAGCTTCCAGCTGCCCATTGTTGAATTAAACTTCATCAGGAAAATGCTTGCTCAGTAACCTGAGGGCCAAGGCTTTGTAGTTACCCACTTTTAGAAAAAAAAACCCAAGGCCATTTCCTCTCTCGCTAAATGCTTTCATCAATTCAAGATAAAATTGGTCCTTAGTACTTTGGCAGCAAAAGGACAGGCAGTAAGGGGAATTAAAAATTAGCTGATATTTTCATTCCAAGTTCTGGGGTTCCAACTACTGGCACTCCTATTCATATTTCAACTGTTGCTGCTGCTACTACTCAGTATCTCTCTTCAGTTTTTCTCAGTAGAAGCAAATCTATATCTTCTGTTTGTTTTCGTTGATATTGTTCTTGTATATTTGCAAGTATGGGCAGTCCTCACTACTGCACTGAGCCCAAAATTTAACAACTGTTGCCACAGTTGTTAAATGAATCACTGCACTTAGTAACTGCCATGTTAGTAACATGGTTGTTAAGTGAAACTGACTTCCCTGTTGACTTTGCTTGTCAGAAGGTGATCGCTTGACTCCAGGACAGTGCAACCGGCATAAATATGAGTCAGTTGCCAAGTGTCTCAATTTTGATCACTGACCCGAGGGATGCCGCAAGGGTCATAAATGTGACAAATGGTCATAAGTCACTTCGTTCAGTGCTGTAACTAACCGAACTGTTGTAAGTCAAGGAATGTCTGTAAAGCCATTTAAAAAAAATATTACAGTGATCTTTCATCCAAGTGACGCCAGTGCTGGAACTTCTTCATACTCAGATTGAGTAAACATAGCAATAGGTAAGCGCTCATGAAATTCCATGAGAAATATAGGAGTAGTTTTTTGTGTGTGGGGGGGAGATAGAATACATAGTAGAAGTGGAAAGTCAGTGGCTGAATCATAGAATACAGAGGTGGTATTCAGCAGGTTCTGAACCAGTTCTAGAGAACCAGTAGCAGAAATTTTGAGTAGTTTGGAAAACCACCTCTGACTGGCCCCACCCCCATCTATTCTCTGCCTCCTGAGTCCCAGCTGATCGGCTGGATCCTTTGTTGCCCTGCACAGGAGAACGGAGCTGGAAAGCAGGTTAGTGGGATGGGGAGAGAATGGGATTTTGCAGTATCCTTCCCCCAAGAGTGGTTTTTCTCCCAAGAGTGATTTTTCAGTAACCTTTTCCTGGAGTGGCATGGGAATAGAGATTTTACAGTATCCTTCCCCTGCCACACCCACCAAGCCAAATCAAGCCCACCAAGCCACGCCCACAGAACCGGTAGTTAAATTTTTTGAATCCCACCACTGATAGAATGGTTTAATTATTGTCTCCTTTGTTCTGGAAACATACGTAGTTTATTCAGTAAACCACGAATAAAGAAATCTTAGCTTATTGTATTGACTGAATAAACAATCAATTTTATATATTCAAAGCGGGAAAACGTCTGTATGATATACCTGTCTGACTGTTTACAAATTTGTTTGATAAGTGACGAACATCAGTAAAATATTTTTATTGGGCTTAAAATTAGGAATCCAGATTTTTCAGTACAAAATTATAGAAAAAGTGATTAAGAAATTCTATGTTGCAAGTAGATTTTTGACTCAATCATAATTATAAAGATATTTCCAAATAAACTAAGTAAAATGGTAGGAAATATATTAAGCATGCATAACTTTTATAGCAAAACTTTGGAAAGAAATCTATACAACTATCAGTTGTAGATGATGGGGAAATTAAAATTCACCATTGTCTTTAATATACAAAATAAAAGCATTATTTAAAAAACAGATTTTTTTAAAGAGCAGATATTTTGCTTTTTTAAAATAATACAACTAGAAAGCTGCCTTTAGAACATTGAGTTTTCAATATTAGAAAAAGGATACCAGAAAATGTGGAAAGAGATAACATGATTTTATGAAACAGTGAGTAATGAATAAATATTTAATAATTAAAAATAGTTATTCATACATTTTTGTGAAGGCAGATTTAATTTGTGTTTATCTTCTCTTGTATTTTTTGTGTTTTAAGTTTTTATATGTTGTAGATAAATAATTTAATCAGAATGAAATAAAGAATTAACAGCAGTAGGCACACATTTTTCTTGTGGGTAAATTATTTAAAAAAACAAAACAAAATGCACACTGATATTTCAATAGTTTTATATTCTTGAAGAGAACACTCATACAGTTTCTGACTTTCCATTTTCCCGTCTGACCACTTTGTTTTCTTCTTTCACTTTGCATCTTCAGCTTAGTTTCTTTTCATATCATTTATATGACAGCACATTTTTTTCAATATTATTTGTTATAAAGTAGTTTAGAGTGACTGATATTTTTTAGGATTCCTGTAAAAAAACAGGAGGAACATGAGGAAAATATAGCCCAGAAAAACAGATTAAAAAGTGTAAGAGAAAAAGAAGAGAGATAGAGGAAAAAGCATCAAAGGGAAGTATGTGTGTATAGCCAGATTTGAGGATTTAGACAAAACTGACTTTCGTTTTCCCAGCTTTAGTCAACTATCTTTTAAAGTTGCTAATTAATGTTTATAATTAGAACTATATCTGCTTACAAGCTAGTTTTCTTTTGTCCATTTTAAAGATACATGAGAATTGCTATCCCTAGGTGGAAAGGATAGTTTTTAAAACATCAATTGTATCTCAGTTATTTGGTATAACACAAAATAGCTATGATAGTTCTGTGAAAAGCTATTTCAAAAGTAGATCTTATGGATGTTGAAAAACTGGGGAAAGCACTGTTTTGAAAACAAATGAACTCCTTGGCATGCATGCATTGAGAAGAATATATCAAAGAAATGGGTGTTGGTAGGTGTGAAGTGCAATAGAGAATCTGAAGTACAGGAATAATGTAAATTTTTGAAAGCTTAGTGACTTAAAGCAAAAATGGGAAAGAAAGGATAATCAGAGGGAAAATAGCTACACTGGAAATTGCTAAAGAATTTGAGAAATCCAGGATAGCAAGAAAAAGCAATCGTGTGGAAAAAGATTGGGGAAAGAAAAGAAAGATAATGAGGAAAGAGTCAGTTTTACTATCTATAGAAATGATCTGCAAATACAAATGTATGTAAATATATATATCCATATTTATTTTTATACAGTGGTACCTCAGTACTCATCATTAATTGGTTCCAGGAGGTGTGATGAGTACCAAAAATATTGAGTACCAAACCATTTTTTTCTATAATATAGTGAGTCACAAGGCAGACGAACATAATTCTAGCTTGTGCGTTGAGAACCAAACAATGAATGGTTGTGAGTTTTTAAAAATAGAATATTATAAATATGACTGCATGCAATGAAAATTAAATTACACAGAATTAAAATTCTAATTGATAGTCACAGACAAT